ATAGCATGCATGGACATCATGCACATATAGCCCACGAGAACTCTGCGCAAAAGGACAAGACTCCCGGCCACGTCGCACAAGAGACTGCTGCATGTGCATGGCAGGTCAAACAAAGTCCATGCCGTGTCACCATGAACGAGCTACGGGAAAAGGATAAAAGCATAAAGCAGCAGTCCATGTCATGTGTGAAAAGAGATCAATTGTGATGAACTTAGAACCGTAAGATTATGATCATATGGATATAAATATATGTTACCTCATTCGTAACCCTAGGGATTGAGAACAATGAAAAGTGTATGGAGTTTTCTTGCAGAAAAAGGATGATCATTTTTACTCATGTTTCCCTTTCACTTTCTTCTCTCATTTCAAATCATTTTCCATTCTTATCTTAACATGGTATCAAGAGCTCAGATCTGTCATTGGGCCGTTGTCTCTATACATTTTACTTCTCAGATCTAGATTATTGGCTTGGGATTTCATGAGATCCTAGTTCTTTTTTTTTTTTCTCTTCTGCAGATCTGAAAATTTCGTTATCACCATTGCCATGGCATCTCACACATCCTCAGATAGCACTCCCAGCTCTCAAACACCCACCACACCAGCTTTTATCCAACCTCAACATCAACTTATCTCCATCAAACTCACAGATACCAATTATCTCCTCTGGAAACAACAAACATACAGTGCCATTATAGGCTATGGCCTGGAAAACTTTATTGCAGCAGACAGTGACCCACCCGAGAAGTTCTTTTTCTCTGAAAATACATCTCAGCCCACACTAAACCCTGCTTATGCTGCCTGGCTGAGACAAGATCAGCTATTGCTCTCCTGGCTTTTATCTTCCTTAAGTGAAAACCTTCTCGACATGATGGTTGGTAAAAACACCTCCAAAGATGTGTGGCTCTCTCTGGAAGCTAACTTCTCTGGCTTATCTAAGGCCAGACTCATGCATCACAAGCTCTAACTCCAAACCCTTAAAAAAGGACCAAGCACTATGAGGGAATTTCTAGGAAAAGTCAAGGCCTGCTGTGATGCCCTTGGAATAGCAGGTGAGCCTGTCTCAGATCAGAACCACATCCTCTACATTCTTGCTGGCCTTGGCAGTGAGTACAACCCAGCTGTTGTAGCTATCACCTCAAGGGTAGAGCCCTATACTTTGAATGAAGTGTATGCAATGCTGCTTAGCCTTGAATCTAGGCTTGACATTGGAGTTCAAAGCATTGTTAACCCAGATGGTTCATTGCCTACTGTGAATCTCACATCCAGTAACACCTCTACTCAGAAAAGCAACACTTCAACACATACCTTCACTAACAATAGAGGCTCATTTACCCCTCACAGAGGCAGAGGCAGATTCAACAACTTTAGGGGCAGAGGGGGTAGAGGCTATAGGAACAACAACAATAGACCCTCCTGCCAACTGTGTGGCCTAAACAATCACACAGCTGAAAGATGTTACCATAGATATGATTCCACTTATCCTGCCCCAACAAATATGCAAGCCCAGATAGCTCAACCTCAGTCTCCTACAAGATCTCTTGCCTCACTGCCTTCACACCCTAATGTCATGGTGGTTTCTCCTGATATAGGTCAAGACTCCATGTGGTTTGCTGATTCAGGTGCTTCTAATCATGTGACCAATGACCTCTCAAATCTGAATATTGCCTCAGACTATCAAGGGCACAATAGGCTTCATGTTGGTAATGGCTCAGGTTTGTCTATCTCACATATTGGCAATTCTCAATTTCTTAACCCATCAAACCCCTCAAGACCTTTTCTCCTTAACAACTTACTTCATGTTCCTCATATCACCAAAAATCTGTTAAGTGTCTCTCAGTTTGCTCATGACAACTTGGTTTATTTTGAATTTCATCCCACTCTTTGCTTTGTTAAGGACCAGGTCACACATCAAGTACTTCTTCAAGGTTCTCTTAAAGAAGGCCTTTACAGATTTGACATCAACTGCTCAAATTCTCTATCAAACCAGTTCAAGAAGTCATCACCCTCTACTTTAATTTCTGCTAATGTTGCTGTTTTAAATAAAAACAATGATTTGGCCTTGTGGCACTCTAGACTAGGGCATGCTGCTCATGATGTTGTCTCTAAAGTTATGAGGTCATGTAACCTGTCTGTTTCTATGAATGATAAGTTTATTTGCTGTTCTTGTCAACAAGCTAAGAGCCATGCATTGCCTTATTCTCCCTCTGATGCTTCTTACAATTATCCTCTTGAACTTGTCCACACAGATGTATGGGGACCTTCTCCCATTAAATCCATCAATGGTTCACAATATTATGTTTGTTTTGTTGATCACTATACCAAATTTACTTGGATCTACTTTCTGAAACTTAAATCAGAGGTTAAAGATGCCTTCCTTCATTTTAAAAACCTAGCAGAAAACCAATTGAACCACAAAATCAAAGCCATTCAAAGTGATTGGGGTGGGGAATTTAGGACCCTTACCTCCATTTTTACAGATTCAGGCATAAACCACAAACTCTCTTGCCCTTATACCCCAGCTCAGAATGGTGTAGCTGAGAGGAGACATAGAACTATTGTTGAGATGGGATTAGCACTAATGTATCATTCTCATGTTCCCCTAAAATATTGGGATGATGCATTTAGTTCAGCTATTTACATTCTTAACAGATTGCCTGTCAAGTCACTAAAATTCTCCTCTCCCTTGGAACACTTATATGGACACAAACCAAACTAGAATACACTCAAAGTGTTTGGTTGTCTATGCTACCCTAACCTCAGACCATATAACAAACACAAACTTCAGCCAAGATCATTGCCATCAACATTCATTGGCTTCAGCTCTAAGCACAAAGGTTACAAGGTACTCTTGCCTTCTGGAAAAGTCATAGTCACCAGAGATGTCATATTTGATGAGTCTCAATTCCCCTTTGCTCAAACTACTCATCCTCATCCTGATAGTGAACAACTAAACTCCTTTATACATCAACCACCTCCAATAGTTCACATACCTCCTCATCCTCTAACCACAGAAAATCATCCCTCACCTTCCACCTCACCTCACTCACATCACATTCCATCAACTACTCAAAACAGTCCTCAGTCCACACCCACAAGCTCACCCTCAACAACACCATCCTCAAGTCACTCTAACTCAACTGTCCCTATTTATGTTGAAATGCCA